ACACATATGTCATAATTAAACGTCATTTTATGTTTTTTGAATAATTGTGATTTGATGATAAGATAAGTTAAAATAATTTAGATAATTAATCATTTGATTGAGTTTTAGGTTTTATAACGTGTTTTAACTTGCCCATTACACGTGTTTCCTCATTAACTCAATTTTTGTTAGTACTATAGCATGATAAACTTTATTATTATATTATTTAATGTCAAATATTAAGGACTCTTATAATAATTATGTTGTTTAAACTTTATTCAATTATGATAACCAAGGTAATGTACACGTCTTGTTTAAATTATGATAATATAAATGTACATGAACTGTATTATAAATTATTGGTTTATTTGTTTAGAAGTTTACTTAATGTGGAAGCTTTATGATAAGATTGGTGTGGAATTTTCATAAATGCAATTCTAATGTGGTCCTAAAATATTTGATTTTCTGTTACAATTTCTATAAATTGTTGGATTGACTTAAATATTAATTTTTTAATTTATTTGTTTTGAAGTTCGATTATTATGGCTCTCACCCTTATCTTTGAAAATTTAAAAATTTGAAAATCCTAATCCTTTGATTTTATTATTGTTCTTATCCATTGTTTTAAATAGTCTAAACATAGAAAGTCAACTTATTTATTTATTTGGTCAAAGTTTCTAAAAATAAATTTTCCAACAACCTCTTTATATAGATATAGATATAAATATAGATAATTAAGATAGATAAAATTCAATTTTATGTTCTCTATTTGTCTATCTGGTAATCGAATTTGTACATGACTATATATATTATCTCAGTTTTAAAGGAATTTTGAAAAATATAATGTTTCACTTTACAAATCATTCAATCACAACATTCAGACATCGTAAGTTTAATTTAGTATCCAAAATTAATTGATACTTATTTTGATATGAATATGATATAATTTATTACATGTTATGTGCAATGTACGAGTTGTGTACTAATTTGAATAGGCATGTTTTATTGTAATTTTGCAATAATTGTCTTTCACACAACATTTGAAATAAATTGATATAGTGGGGAGGGGAGCATTACATATTGATTTCATATTTTAATTAATTTATTATTATTATTTAATAAGCATTTTTATAAGTATTAATGAATATCTCTTACATGTACATTGCACGGGATTCGTACTAGTTGTTAGTGAAACACAATGCTATAATAATCTATATCTATATATATATAAAAAGAATTACCATTTACTAAAAATAGTAGCAAAAATTTAGGAAACATTTAATGCATACTATTTTTGGAAATTTTTTAAATATATGCATTACTTGCTTCTATTTACACGTTTTTAAATAAGATCAAATTAAGTATGATCAAATAATTATTTAAATAAATTTATTAATATATGCAGTATTTTTATTAATATTTATTATAATAAATTACAAGATTTATTTTCGTGATTCATGTTGATAATATTTTGGTCAAGATAAATTTTATTTTATTAATATTTGTAATACTTTCATTGATATTCATTATAATAAATTACAAGATTGATTTTTGTGATACATGTTGATAATATTTTGGTCAAGATAATATTACACAATATTTTAAGTTCTAACCATAATATTAGTTTTTTTTCACAAATATTCACTTTTTTATCCAAAAATATTTATGGAAAATCGTAGCAGGTTAGGTAGAATTTTTTTTCCAAGTAATCAGACAAAACCAAGTTGGTGAATTAATCTTTGCCAATATATTTTTTTTTTTGCTTTATTTTGTTAAATATAAAAAATAAGTCGTTCTTCAAATAATATAATTTACCATTTAAGGGATAATGACCAGATACAATAAATAATTTTACTAATAGTACAAAATTAAAATTGAAACATATTAACTATTGTTTAGAGTTTATTTGTATATTTTTGGCACCCATGATTATATTTTTCATTTTTTTTTATTTTGATTTATTTCTATAATTAAATTTTTGTAAAATATATTTTCACTGCTGAGTACGCTAAATAAACCATAAATCCTTATAATGTGAATTAGAAAAATCTTGATCGTAGAGGGGCGATTTTTTGGGATTTTCTAAATTAAAGTTGTTCAATTATTATATAAAATTAAATTGTAAAAAAACATTTGTATATTTTGTAAAATATTTATACACTATTTAATATTAAATTTATTTACATATTTTAAATTGATTACATAAATAAATAATACCAACGTGCATTAAGTATTTTTTATTACATAAAATAAAAATAAAAAGAAGACATACAACTTCTACAACTTTATAAATGATAATGACATTATATGACATAAAGTGTATAATAAAATAAAAATTAATTATTACATGGTGAACAAGAATAAGTAAAATTATTATTCTCTCTTATATCAATGAATAAATATATATATATACTAAAATCAAATTTAAATTAGGATAAATGTGTTAGTAAAATAATATATTAATTATTTTAATATTTTGATTAAAAAAATAACATTGATTAAAAGAGGTGCAAAATATATTATAACCTTATTGTTTATTATACTTAACGCTGATTAAAAGAGATGAAAAATAAATGATAATCCTATTGTTTTATATATTTAAACGAACAAATTAAGCATGTGAAAATAATTCATTTAATATTTCTATCTCGTGCATCGCACGGGGTACGTACTAGTGTTATTAAAAAACTTTCCTATTTTAAGTTTTAAAATCCAAACATGAAATATGGAAAATATGTATTGAAGTTGGATGTTGTAAGCTAATTTTGTACACTACTTCAAATTATCCCAATTTGAGAAAATCCGAACCATGAGTGAAAACCAATTGAAAATCAGAATGAGGGAACCAACCAGGCAACCACATTCCGCACGATAAGAAAAAAAATTTAACTACAGTACAGACTCTAGTTAAAAAAATTTCCCGAATTTTAAACCCTAGTTGCTTTTACCAGAGTTTGACCTCTATTAAACAAATTGAAAAAGTAATTTGGAGTCCGGCGATACATACATGTTCAGTTGCTCGCACACTGCACTGAGAGAGACTGAGAGAGAGAGAGTGTCCTTTTTCGCCTTGCA